TTAATTTTATATCACTGTCTTGTTTATGTTTTAATGGTTGTGCAAAAAGATTTTTATCCTACAATGGTTTTGTTCAAACATAATTATTTTAAAAACAAGAGCTGTGCTTATATTCCTCTTGTGCAGTGCAAAACACGCTGAATCGTACGACGAGAAAAAAACCGAGTTTTTTACTTATATTAGTAGACATCTGATTAGAGATTCCAGTTTTGCGCTCGTCGCATAATAGAGTTAGCAGGCTACGTGCGTAAGCTACTTGCAACGTGATGTAACGATTTCTAACAAAATTATAATATCGCACGTATGTTAAAAATACAGATCTCTTAAAGATCGAAAAATTGATCGACTCGCAAGTCGGATTTTCGCTTATCTTATTGACTGATACGTGTGTTTGATTTTTGATGAGACGGTCACATCACGCGTAAGCTCATTTAATTAAATGTGTAAAAATCGACGTTTATTTCCATCTGATATTTTTTTTTTTTACTTTGTTCTATACAATGCGTTTTGTAATTCGTTTGTTTTTATTTCTCACGCAGGTGAACGCGCGAACTTTGTGAACAAGCCTCATGTGATCGCAATGGTCGGACTGCCGGCTCGCGGCAAGACCTATATATCAAAGAAGCTGTGCCGATACCTCAATTGGATCGGCATTAACACGAAGGTCTTCAACCTGGGCGAGTACAGGCGGCACGCAACCACGGCCTATCAATGTCACGAGTTCTTCCGTCCCGACAACATTAAGGCGATGGCTATACGCACGCAATGCGCGAAAGACGCATTGAACGACGTGTGCCAGTGGTTGGAGAGCGGCGACGGCGAGGTGGCCGTTTTCGATGCCACTAACTCGACGGTCGAGAGACGTCAGCTCATACACGAAATTGTAGTATGCAAAATGGGTTTCAAGCTGTTCTTCGTCGAGTCCGTGTGCAACGATCCGGAGATCGTCGAGCAGAATATTATGGAAGTACGTGTTTTCCAAATAGAGATTTATAAGCGATGTTGTACTCCAAATGTTTTGATGATGTTGAAGTAGATTGTTGAATAGATTGATTTTTATAAAGTAAATCGGTAAAATTACATGTACAAAAAATATTTCAAACAGAAGATTTTTCTTTTTTTCTACAGATCTTTAGAAAACATCAAATCCGCCGAAAAAAGTCGTTTCAAACAATATTCTGGATATAATATCAATCTGTAGAGTAAAAGACCCAATTACCGTCACCTGAATAATAAACTCTGGCGTTGGTGAATTGTTTTTACTACTTATTTATCAAAAACATATGTTTTTCTTTTTATCTGATATTATTCGATGTCTCTGATATAAGAAACAAAATAATACCGCCTCTCAAAATCTCTATTTTTATTTATAAATTTAATAATGCTGGATTTTTTTTGTTATATTAAATGCACTTAAAATTCTATGTTAGATTGTTTTCATGCATAACTTTTTAGGATTTAAAAATATAACAAGGTCTGTTTCGAGCTTTTAATGGATCTTAAAGTTTATTTAAACAAAAAGCATATAAAACGCAGTAAAACGCAAATGAAAAACAAATAAAATTAAGAGATGACAAACGTTTGTTTTTCATTTGCGTTTTACTGCATTTTATATGCTTTTTGTTTAAATAAACTTTAAGATCCATTAAAAGCTCGAAACAGACCTTGTTATATTTTTCTATACTTACTTACTTATTGTTAATATTGCGAGCGAATTTTATAATTTAATACGTTTTTAGGATTTGTTTAATATTTTAAATAAAATAGCTTAGGGTGACGGTAGTTGGGTTTTTTACCCTATTATTTGATACAAGTATATTGTACAAAATTTCTGTCGTCATTTATAAACAATTCTCTTCTTTTCTAGGTGAAAGTCAGTAGTCCGGATTACACGAATATGAAAAAGGAGGACGCGCTCGCTGACTTCATGCTGCGAATTGAGCACTACCAGGAGCGATATCAACCGCTGGACGAAGAGCGCGAAAGCGACTTGTCGTTTATGAAGATATACAACACAGGCGAGAAGGTGCTCGTCCATAAGCACGAAGGCCATATACAAAGTAGAATAGTTTACTATCTAATGAACATTCATATTGTGCCACGCACGATTTACTTGACCAGGCACGGTGAGAGCCTGATGAACCTCGAGGGCAGGATAGGCGGCGATTCTGACCTGAGCGAACGGGGGCGCGAGTATGCCAAAGCTCTGGCGGAATTCATCGCCAATCAAAACATACAGGTAATCTCTCTTCGACCTTCGAGAGAGAGAGAAAGAGAGAGAGAGAGAGAGAGGAGATATTTTTTTATGTTTTGGATTTTTATAATACTTTAATTTGTTTAAGTCAATTATTTGTTTAATATAATTATAAGTGGAATAATGATAATACAAGTATAATAAAATTAAATATGGTTAAAAATAAAATATAAAGTTTAATATTATATCTATGAGAGAGGAGATATTTTTTTATGTTTTGGATTTTTATAATACTTTAATTTGTTTAATATAATTATAAATGGAATAATGATAATACAAGTATAATAAAATTAAATATGGTTAAAAATAAATAATAAAGTTTGATATTATATCTATGTGAATATATTCAGATATTTCAGAATATGTTCAGAGATTTTTTTTTATTGATTTATTTAACTTAATGCTTACGAGACTATAAAATAATAATACATTCTCGGATCTCGCAAAAATATCTCACAAAAAAAAAAAAAATATCTGAACATATTCTGAAATATCTGAATATATTCATGTAGATATAATATTAAATCTTATATTTTATTTTTAACCATATTTAATTTTATTACAGAGATATTTTTTATTGATTTATTTAACTTAATGCTTACGACGCTATAAAATAACAACACATTCTCGGATCTCGTGTCTCGACATAACAATATAGAAACATATTGGTCAAGGAAATAATAATTTATGTTAAATAAATATTATTGTAAATAATATAACGATTGAATACGCGTTATATAAGCGTATCTTATGCCTGCCATCTACGCGCCACACACTTTGATCGAGTACTCTCGGCTTGATCCTTGTGTCACGGTAAATAGCCGTGTGTTTGCGTTGTTTGTTTTTCTAACTTTTTTCTCGCGCGCGCAGGGCTTGAGAGTATGGACGAGCTGGCTAAAGAGAACTATTCAGACCGCAACCGATCTGACGGCACCGCAAGAGAGGTGGAAAGCTCTCAATGAAATCGATGCTGTGAGTCTCGCGTGAAAATTCTTCAATGTTGCTTATTATCAGTTTGCTTATCTAGATCTAAGAATATACACAAACGATTTTTGTATATATATTTGATCTCAGGGTATCTGCGAGGAGATGACTTACGAGGAAATCGCTGACAAGTATCCGACGGACTTCGCGGCGAGAGATCAAAACAAGTTCTCGTATCGTTATCCGAGAGGGGAAAGTTACGAGGATCTTGTCGCGCGTTTGGAGCCCGTGATAATGGAGCTGGAACGTCAGGGTAACGTTCTGGTCGTTAGTCATCAAGCCGTTTTGCGTTGTTTATTCGCATACTTCCTGGACAAGAGTGCGGGTCAGTATTATTATTATTATTTTTTTTTTTAAATACTCAGAACTCGCGAGATTTGTCCTCGATTACGCTTGGAGCAAAAAAACAAAAGAAAATCATCTAAATTTAGCCGGCGACACACACTCGACGATATACAGGGTGTCCCAGAATTGCCGTACAATCTCTCGTAGGCAGGTAGAAGGAGTAAAACTGAGTCGAAAAGTCCTGAACCATTTTTTTTCTATTATTTATAATAAAGGAGTAATTATTGAGTAAATCAGGCCAATCAGCGCAGACCTTTAGCCAGGCACACGTCAGTGAGCGCTCACACACACCAGGCGCGCGGCTCACTGACGTGCGTCTGGCTAAAGGTCTGCGCTGATTGGCCTGATTTACTCAATAATTACTCCTTTATTATAAATAATAGAAAAAAAATGGTTCAGGACTTTTCGACTCAGTTTTACTCCTTCTACCTGCCTACGAGAGATTGTACGGCAATTCTGGGACACCCTGTATAATAACGTCTGACGTCTAAGAGATATTGAACCTATCGAGATGTCGCGCCCAACTTTTGACCTTCGACGTATTGTGAAGCGCGCGCTGAGAAAAAATAAAATGATAAACGCACAACCTCGTTCACGCAACAGTTGTTGATCGTGATGACGTAATTATTTGTTCCATCGCGTCGTCGCGAAACAGCTCGTTCTTGCTCGCTTGATATCTTATTGTCGGTTCTGATGCGAGATTTGTCTGTTTCGCGACATTGACATTGATTCGCACACGCGCAAATAAGAAAAAAACACGTGCGCGCGAAAAGTTCGAAGATGCTTTATCGAAACTCGATATGATATGATGTAAAGAATTTTCTTTCTGTGTTTTACAGACGAATTACCTTATTTGGAAGTTCCTTTGCACACCATCATAAAATTAACTCCGGTTGCTTATGGTTGTAAGGTAGAGCATATTCGGCTACCGATCGACGCCGTGGACACTCACCGGCCAAAACCAAAGGTAGAAACGATCATAATACAGTCGTAACAATTGTATTAAGTAGTTTGCTTGCCGAAAAAAAAAACAAACAAACAAAAACAAAAACAAAAAAAGCAAATACCCGATTGCTTGCCAATATTTTGACACATAATAAGACTCTAATTAACATTCGGAATATATTACTAGAACATAAAAATTTGATTAAACTTAAATAAATGAATAAATAATTGGTCTTGAGAGGGTACTGGACTACCGACTATAGACACCTGTAAACCGACATTTGTAGAAGTCCTCTGGTATCGTATTTACTGCATAAAATCTAAAATGTTTGTTCCAGATAAATAAATATATAAAATGTGCCAAAATTTATCGCTAGCTACTTGCGGTTGTTGAAAAATAAACATAAATTTTTACCACCAAAGTTTTCTTCTATAATCTTATTATACAGGGTGTCCCAGAATTGCCGTACAATCTCTCGTAGGCAGGTAGAAGGAGTAAAACTGAGTCGAAAAGTCCTGAACCATTTTTTTCTATTATTTATAATAAAGGAGTAATTGTTGAGTAAATCAGGCCCAATCAGCGCAGACCTTTAGCCAGGCGCACGTCAGTGAGCCGCGCGCCTGGTGTGTGTGAGTACTCTCACTGACGTGTGCCTGGCTAAAGGTCTGCGCTGATTGGCCCGATTTACTCAATAATTACTCTTTTATTATATAAATAATAGAAAAAAAATGGTTCAGGACTTTTCGACTCAGTTTTACTCCTTCTACCTACGAGAGATTGTACGGCAATTCTGGGACACCCTGTATATTCACGTGGCAATACTTATTTGTCAACTTTTGTACGTATTTAAACTTAGCTAGCGATAAAAGAATACGACAAAAAAGAATACAATAAGACATTCCGATTATGATTGGAACGTGTAGTTGGCGAGAAAAAGCGATTCTCGTGATGGCAGTGTAGGTTATTCATATGCTATTTATGTGAATGAAAAAAAAAAAGCATTATATATTTTCATTTTCAAGAGCACTATGTAGTTTTTTTTTTTTTATATTTATTTGCTTCTGTATAAACATTTTTTCATGTGATGCAGTTCGCAAAATTGGAAATTAGAGAAATTTAGGCTTCTAAAATGTTGATTTACAGGTTTCTATATAGTCGGTATCCAGTATCCTCTTAAGGATGTTGTGCGGAAAATTATGTCTTACCCAGATAACCAAGACTGAGTGATCATATTTTGCAAAGTCTGCAATAACACATCATGCCGGTACAATGTAGCCAGCATTCAAACATAATCTGTTATTTCAACTAGTGTGTCGACAAAGAAAACAGAAAAAAAAAAAGAATATAAATATGTCATACCGTGATGCAAATTTTATTATTGCATCAATCAAGCAGAACTTGCTCAAAAAATGTAGCAGATTTGAAGCATAACGTGCGTATTGTCATTTCAATCTTCATTTATTTCTATATTTTTGCTGTGTTGTTTTTTCTTTACGTATCGTGCCTACATAATTCACTCGCTATGATGACACAGCTGAGTGGAATCTGCTGCCGCAAAGTGCTGATTAAACCTGCGTGCATACTGTTGACATACTGCTATCATTTGGCTATCGGGGTATATGTGTGTACACACATATAAAACATAATTTTCCGCGCAACATCCCGCGAACGGCTCCTTAAGACCGATTATTTATTCATTTATCAAGTTTCAATAAACTTCACGAGCCTGAGGAGATCCTCAATTTAATATTGACTGATAAAAATTTGACTTGATACATAAATCTAGAAAGAAAGAGAGAGAGAGAGAATATAACAAATATAATAATCAATATATAAAGTTAATTAGAGTCTTACTGTAATCTCTACTAATAAAAAATTTTACTTATTTCTTTTACGCATTGCTTATGTTTGATAACTGGTTTACACTATTAGCCGTAGTGACAAAAATTGACATTTTGTTTTTTGTATCTAATCCAAACCTCCTCGCGCTAGAGTCTCGAGCAAATCTTATTTTCGTAAAAGTGCATTTTTTATTCTAAATTTTTTATGTTTATATATTTATTTCATATACTATTATATATGTATAATTTTATATATATACTACAATATTTACGTGTGTTATAGTACTGCACTTATATCGTTCAGTAAATGTATGTTTCGCTTTAGACACGCGGTTTTTTTTTAAGATCAGGTGACATACATAAAAAATAGCATTAAGCAGCAAACAAAGTGTGTGTGACCAATCACTGTTCGTTTCATTATTATCTGAGAGATTGAGAACGCTCGACTATATGATCGATTGATTTACTTACATCTCTCTTACCGTTTAACTGTTTTTGCGTTTCTGATATTATAAGCATTATCTAGGTTCAGGTTTAATTCTTTTTAGTGGTTATCGGTTATTTATGACTCAAATGTCATTCCGGAGATAAAACTCTGAATTAAGTAATCGTAGATTACTCTCTCTCTATTGAAGCATAGCACAGGCAAGGTTGAGATCCAGCAAGAGTAGTAGAGTTACGTCACGGTCTATATTGTTTACTAAATGTAAAATAAGGAAATTGACGCTGAAAATTACGCACGATAGTGCTTAAAAAGCAAAAACGCTTTAAATGCGTTTATGTATATTAGCAAAAAGTATGAACAAAGTCTCATTACATTTATTTTAGTTGTTCCGCATGGTCTTGTTATTAATATATACTATAAAAAATTATATTTATATACAGTTGTATAAAAAATTGATTTTTTATTATATTATATTTTTACTTTCTTTATGTTGTGTTAGTTTAAAACCTAGAAAAGAAGGCTGTTAAAATATATTTCTTAATTGTGCCACGTTTTCAAAAAACAACATGAACGTTAATTTTGTGAAATCAAAACGTTTAAATAAATACAAACGTTTTTTTATAGTCGTACAAAGTGATACTTATTATATTGTGATAAATTGTATTTAAACGTAATTACGTATATGTATATGTAACATATACATGCGCTGATTGGGCCTGATATATGTAACATATACATATACATATACAGAGTGTCCAAGAGAATTGGTGTGACATCTCTCGCAGGCAGGTAGAAGGAGTAAAACTGAGTCGAAAAGTCCCGAACCATTTTTTTCTATTATTTATAACAAAGGAGTAATTGTCTGAGTAAATCAGGCCCAATCAGCGCCGATCTTTAGCCAGGCGCGCCTGGTGTGTGTGAGCACTCCGCGCAGTTGGCTAAAGGTCGGCGCTGATTGGGCCTGATTTACTCAACAATTACTCCTTTGTTATAAACAATAGAAAAAAATGGTTCGGGACTTTTCGACTCAGTTTTACTCCTCCTATCTGCCTGCGAGAGATTGCACGGCAATTCTGGGACACCCTGTATATTACGCACTTAACTCAAAAGCGCCTAAAAAAACAAGTTTTTTGATTATAGATGATAAAATTTATATTAGTAAAACGCATGCAATTAGAATATTATATTATATATATAATTTTTATTGTATAATCTTTATTTAAATTTATTAATATATATATATATATATTAATATATTAATATATTAATAATATATATACAGTAACGCGATGTTAAAGATCGATGATAAAAAAAAATGTAGAAAAAATGCTAATATTGTTTTAATTTAAATGAAATAAAAATTATGTTTGCAAGAAACCTCTCTGCATGTCTAATGGTCCACACATAAAACATATATCCTTGTTTAAACTGCATCCTTTTTTTTTTTTTTCACAGGCTATGCGTAGACTTAGTGTTTTTTTTTTTATGTTTCACAACAAACGTGCTAAAATTTTTTGTTGTGGTATTTTCAGATGCCGGGATACTTGGAGGAGCGATTTCGAGGAACGAGAAAGGCATTGCGCACGTGATAACGACAAATTTTTGCGTAAAACACGACGCAGCTATTTTCTACCGAATTCATGTAACGAATATTATAGATTCCGGCAGCTGGCTGCCATCTTCCTTGAAATCCTCCGCGTGCGATGAATTTATAAAGCTCGTGTCCGAATCTTTTTCTTGTCGGATTTATCCAAAAAGAAGCGAGAGACGCGCACCTGTAATGATCAACCTATTACAACAACGTTTTACCTTTTACGTGAAACGTAATGTAAGACACCGGGTTATAAAAGGTTCCGCGACGATGCAAATTCCGCACGTGTGCGGCAGCAACAGAGTGTGGATGTATTTTGTGATTTTTACATTTTTTCGATTGGCATCTGTGGATAAGTAGCGAGAAAATGTATGTGATACGAGGAGATGGACACGATGATGACGTCGATGACGAGCTTGTGGTGTACATATGTTTATAGACGTGCATCTTTTAGGTGACAATTCAGACTTTTGTTTGTTTTTTTTTTTTTTTTTGTTTTTTTTTGGATTGTTTCTGAACATTCATTATTATTCGATAATTATTATACGATACTAGCATATAATTGGGGTGTGTTGTCTTTGGGGATAATGCACGTTATTTGGAGTATTTATTTCCCGTTGAAAAACACACACGTTAAGACAATTATATTTAATTTGGATCATATTTTAGACAGTATCCCAAGACAGTATCCTATTCACGTTCGATAAATCTATTCGATACTTGAAATCGCTTGTTCGCGACTTTTAATCTAAAGATATGCGCGTTTTTATATACGCATATATATATAACGATACATATATATTATATATCTATTACATATCTAATATATATATATATATATATATTATATACCT